GTCATGTGGTGATGAACAATTAATCCCATGTCAAAGAGTTTGGCCTTTATCCTACAAGCAATCAGTTATGAAGACTTTCTGGGCAGGAGAAGGAAAGGACCATAAACCAAGTCTTTTTACCAAGACTAACCAGTGAGCCCATAGGCACATATGGACAGCCAGAATTAGCTCAATCAGCTGGACGAATGATAGAGAAGGAAGATCCTTATATAATGAATGTGATACACTAGAAAATTGAGTAACTCTGCTGACAAAATAGATATTATTAATAAAATATTACAGCTTGACTCTAAAAACAAAAAGATCATTATACAGCTTAACAAAAATTAGCCTTCAGACAAATACAAAGTTTAGCAAACTTATTTTAAAACTCATATACACTAAATAAAAAAAATAAATTAGTTATGTTTATACAGTTAATTCTAATTAAAAATGTATGGTCTAGAAAATGGTAATTAATATAGCTATTATAAGGCAGTAAATACATATGTGGAATTTTTTTTTCATAAGATGAAATAATGCTCAATTGGAATATGTTATTGTTGAATATACAAAGAAAATTAGTAGTAGTAGTAGTAGTAGCATAGTAATAAATACATAGTGGAATCTATACATTGGTGCCCTAAAATACAATATAAATATTTTTGTCCTAAACATAAACTATAGGGCAAAACATGGCTGAATATAGGTAACTAGACTTTTAAAATCACCAAAAAATTAAGAGTTACCCTTAAGCTGTATTTCTGGAGAGGGCCATAGGTAAGAAAATAACCACAATAAAGGAATTTAAATTAGGAACAAATTATTCACTCCCTGCCACCATTCTACTCATTTCTCCTTTTCATTCTCAAAGAGATTTTAAACATTCTTTAGTCAAATAATTCTCCAATTTTGCTTTAACAATGAAATCCTGAACATAGCTCTATATATGCATGTGTATTACAGATGAAAACAGTTCAGTTGAAAATAATCCAGGGGGCTGGGAGAGGGACTGAAGCACTCTAACTAGGCCTGCACTTTGGCCTTCACCTATTGTCCCTCCACAGCAGCTCTCAAAGAGCCTTTTATTTTCTAAAACACAAGGGTCTTAGTTCAAATATTTCCATTTTTAAAAACTCAAATTGTAGCCAAGAGAGTTAGGAGTGTTACCTGAAGAGAAGACTCCTGGTTTTTTTTTTTTTTTTTTTTGGTGCCACTGCTAAAATGAAAGCACTTTATCTTTCTCATAAACTCTAAACTTCTGTGTGAAAAAATAAAGAAAGAAATTCCTTAAAGGACTAACCACAGGCTTTACTACTCTGTGACTAGAACAATTGGATAATACCTGGCTACCACTACTACTGTTCTCACAGGGATCACAGTAGAAAGTTCTGAATAGAGACGAAGGGAAAAAATGTTGAATAAAATTAGAAACCATAAAAAGGATCAGACTTAGTGGTCTGATAGAGACTAGTAGAATATAAGACTGTGGACTTTAGAACACTAAAAGCTTGACACTGAACTCCCTTCTGACAGAGCATCTTTCAGTCAAACAATAAACAGGCTTATAAAGAGAATAATAGTGCACTGGAGAAATGTACTTCTCAGTACAATCAATCATGAGTCCCAAGGGTAGTTTTGTCACAAGACAAAGCTAATCAAGCTGGAGAGGGCAGAAAAGACAAACCAACAGGAACAGGAAACCCAAAAAGTAGAAAATGAGAAGAGTGAGGGGACTGCAAACAAAACATAAACCAAAATGTATATAAACTGTTAGATGAAAATCAAACTTACTCTGTAAACTCTCATCCAAATGACAAAAAAGACAAAATAAAATAAAATTGAAAACCGGTTCTTTAAACCATCAAGGGAAAAGAATTTATGTTAATGACAGAGAAGCAACTCAGAAAAGCAGAATGAGAATGGCTGCACAATTTTAAAAAATCATCACTGTCAATTGTACATATGTCATTGTTCTTCAGTACCATCGAGTTGGAAGGGAGCAATAGCTGTCCCTCCAGCAGGTTCTTGGAGGCCATAAATCACAGAGGAGGAGGTTGATCATCATTCTGTGCAGCTAGTAGATTCAAATCGCACACCTGTGTCAGCAGTATAACTCTTTACCACCAAGCCAAATTGTACACATAGAAACTGCCAAATTAGGATATATTTTGCTATATATATTGTCAACAATAACAACAACAAAATAATAAAATATAGAGGAAACCGAAAAGGCTTCTTACTAAGTAAGTTCATGCCATCCTGTTCCTCACAGGGCAGTAAACTATGCCTTTCCTAAGTGTCTACTCATGGTCAGATATTCCTCTAAAACCATAAAGCCCCAAAACCCCCTACTATCAGGTTGATTCTACTCATGGCAAACTTCCATCCAGTTTCTGAGGCTGCAAATCTTTATGGGAGGAGACTTTCCATTATTTTCCAGGACTCGTGGACTCAAACTATTCACTATGCTGCCAGAGCTGTCAACCTAAAAACTCATTTCCTTTGACCTGATTCTTACTCATATGGACTAGATGTTAGATTTGAACTACAAACCTTTTGGTTAGTAGCCTAATGTATACCAATAAGCCGTCAGAGCTATGCTACTGTTAAGTGTTTTCCAGTCAGCACTGACTCATAGTTGACCCTCCAGCCAGTTTTCAGAGGCCGTCATTCACTTGCGAGGTTGTTGTTGTTGTTATGTGCCATTGAGTCATTTTCGACTCAGAGCGACCCTATGCACAACAGCCCTAAACCCTGCTCTATCCTGCGCCAACCGCACCGCCTCTGACACACCCATCCCCATTACCCCAGTCACCGAATCAATCCATCTCATAGAGGGTCTTCCCCTCCTGAGCTGTCCCTCCACCCTCCCAAGCATGATGTCCCTCTCCAAGGACCCGTCCCTCCTTGCAACGTGTCCAAAGTATGTCAGACGAAGCCCCAGAATCCTTGCCTCCAAGGAGTAGCTTGGTTTAATCCTCTCCAAGATGAATCTGTTTGTTTTCCTGGCAGTCCATGGTACATTCAGTACCCTTCTCCAGCACCACAGCTCAAAAGCATCCACTCTCCTTCTGTCCTCCCTAGTCATTGTCCAACTCTCTGATGCATAACAAGCGATTGCAAATACCATGGCCTGTATCAGGCGCACCTTAGCCTCCAGAGAGACACTGTTGCTCTTGAGTACTTTAGAGAGGTCCCTAACAGCAGACTTTCCCATCACGATACGCTTTTTGATTTCCTGACTGCTGGTGCCAAGAGTGTTGACTGTGGAGCCGAGCAAAGTGAAGATGTGAACACTCTCAATCTCTTCGTCATCCATCCTGATGCTGCCGGTTGGTCCAGTGGTGAGAATCTTTGTCTTCTTGACATTGAGCCTCAGTCCATACTGAAGGCTGCAGTCCTTGACCCTTCGCAGCAAGTGCATGAGGTCCTCCTCAGTTTCAGCAAGCAGGGTTGTGTCATCTGCATAACGCAGATTGTTAATAGATCTTCCACCAATCCTGATGCCACCAATCTCCTCATAGAGCCCAGCCTCTCGGATAATCTGCTCTGCATACATGTTGAAAAGGTATGGAGACAGGATGCATCCCTGGCATACACCCTTCCCAATTTTGAACCATGCAGTGTTACCCTGCTCTGTTCTGACTACTGCCTCTTGGTCCAAGTATAGGTTTCACATTAGCACAATTAAATGTTCTGGGATTCCCATTCTTCTCAGAGTCAGCCACAGTTTGTTATGATCCACACAGTCAAAACACTTGAAAGGAGACTGCCCATCTTTCTCTCACAAAGCAGCTGGCAGACTGGAATTGTTTGCTTTTGGCTTGGCAGCATGGTTCCCTGTCCACTAAGCTACCAGAGCTCTAGGTACATGCTATTTGCACAGTTCAGATCAAGAATTATAACCTACCTAAGGTAACAAAGCTCTACCTACTCTCCTGGAGTCAATTCCCACCTATAATGATGCTGCAGGAGATGGCAGAACAGGCTATAGAGGTTCCAAAACTGTAATCTTCTGAAAGCAGACTGCCAGCTAAGCTGCTGGAGGGTCTGAACCTCTGTTAGGAGCAAAGCATTTAACCACAGCACCATCAGGGCTCCTTTCTCAAAAGATAGCAGTGTAGGTCTGGTCTGACTCCTAAATACAAACTTCAGACTCATTCTTTCTAACTCTATAATGTCTTTTTCGTACATAACAATTGCAGAACTCTGTCTGAGACTGTGAGGATGGTACCAGATAGGACAAGAGTTCAGGTCTGTTGTTGATATGGAGTTGCTTTGAGCTATACTCGACTCCATCGCACCCAACAATATAACATCATCACAATGTCCTTTAGAAGCATGGATTTCATATTTTCAGTCGTTCAGAGAATAGAGAAACTCAAATGCTCTTAACAAAAGGGTTGCAAAATCATCTTTGAAGTGTGCATCAGATGCTGACTAGTATTTTAGGTTGGGTAAATGTTAGCTATTATCTAAACGTTACTGCCTCTGAAAACTTGGCAAAGGGTCAGCTATGTGTTGATTCTGACCTGACAGTACACAACAACAACAAAGTTTGTACTTAAGGGCTTCCCTGGTGTAAAAGATTATTATCACCTTGGTGTAGAAGCAATTGTCAGCATTAAACATTTTCCGTGGATGGGGAGAGTCAAAGGAGTTTGGATTGTTGTGTCTGCGGGAAGGCAAAGAGGAGAAACTGTTGTGATCAATTACAGATGCTCCTGTGGAGCCAGTGACTGATAATAAAGTATCGGTAAGGGAAGAATATCTGGGTCTTAGGGCCATCCTCTGGACAGTGTGTGCCAAAGGCTCAATGTCCTTGGCATTGGAGGGGTCTGAATTTTAGAGTACAGGCTAGGGCGGGAGTTAGGAGGTTCCAGGGCCAGGCTCCGTTGCCAGGCGGCACGGGGTAGGGGGCTGGTGCCCAGGCTCTGTGAGGCTGAGGTGCAGGCTGTTGGGCCCAGGGCAGCATCAGCTACTGGTCCCCCACTCTAACCCCTCCCTGCCTAGCTTACCTTCTGTTTGAAGTAGAGAATCGAGTAATTCCTGTCTAAAGTTGGACTGGAGGTGGGTCTGGTTGGCAAGTGCAGGCTGCTAAAAGACCTTGGAGACAGCAATCGAGGAATGGTGGCCCCGGACGCCAAGAGCGGCAAGAACAGGTACAGGAGCAGAAGGAGGAAGCGCCCCATGGCTCAGGAGGACCGCGGCTGTGCGGATGGAAGAGGACAGCAACGAGCAGACTCGCGCAGCACAAGCCTGGCCCTGCCCGAAGCTCCGCCCGCCACGGACCGGCTCCTCCCCGGGGAACACAAAACCGCCAGGCCCCTCTGTGCCGCCAACTTAATCCAGGTCAGCCTCTCCCCTTACCCTCACCCCCATTCAGCCCTAGACCCTGAAAGTGCCGCCTCCACTCTACACTTCCTCAGAACTCAAATTCATTTCGACCACTAGCAGATCTGCTGCTTCTATCACCCTAGAGGCACCTCCTACCTCACCTAGATCTACTCCCTGTTGTTGCTGCTGCTGTTGCTGTTGTTAGGGGCCAACAGTGGAGTGGGGCTATTGGAGACTCTATGAATAAAAATCTGAACCCTGTCTTATCCTATGCCATTCTTACCATCTCTGACACACTGGAACTCATTGCCACAGTCACTGCGTCCATTCATCTGGTTGAGGGTCTTCCTTTCCTTATCCTTCCACATTCCCAAGCATGATGTCCCTCTTGCCCCAAGTATGTGAGACTTTTTTCCTCATCTTTGTCTCCTTTGAAGGAGTACTCTTGCTGCACCTCCTCTGAGGTATAACTGTTTGTTCTTTTGGCATATATTTGTTCACCATAGCTCAAAGGCATCAATTTTTCTGTCATCCTTAGTCATTGTCCAGCTCTCAAATGCATAGTAAGTGATTGAAAAGACTGTAGCCTGAATCGGGCGCATCTTAGTCCTCAAACTAACATCATTGCTCCTCATTAATTTGGGGAAGTCTTTGACAGCAGACTTTCCCAGAACAATACATCTCCTGATCTCCTAGTACCAAGTGTATTGATTGTGGATCCAAGTAAGGTGAAGTTGTTGACAGTTTCAATCTTTTCTCCATCTATCATGATGTTGCTTATATGCCCAATGGTGAGAATGTTTTCTTGACGTTCAGATGCAATCCATATCGAAGGCTGACGTGTTTGATTTATCTTACCTATATAGATCTACATCCTATTCTTACCTAAATCTTCCACTAAACTCACCTTTCAGCCTGATAATCTCACATTGCCCTGTCAGATTCAGCCCTAACCTGCCTTAATTCTACTGCCAGATGCACAGCCCGTCGCAAATGTTACTTAAGAACAATAGCTACTATGATCATTGATCATTCACTTCATATGTTTCACTAAGATATGGCACACATACCTAGGTCATTAATCTAATGCATCATGTACGATTGTTATTCACTTTATAGATGAAGAAATTGAGGCTCAGAGAAGTCCAGTGATTTGCATTGGGTCACTGTGTAACAAGAAGTAAAGTCTGGCTTCGCAGGCTGCCCGTTTTGTATCTTAGGACAGAACTCCTTCCACCAAACCTCCTAACTATCCTTACCACCATCGTGGCACCTTGTCTCTATGGCACCCCATACCACTGGATCGGTCGCCTAACCCATCTCTTCGAAAGGCTGCTATCCAGCCCACATCGCCCAAGAGTCCCACGGGATTCCTTCATTCAGGTTAAGGACCTTCCCTAAACTTTTGAGTATCAGGCTCCAGCCACCTCTTCCAGCTCTTCCTTCCCCGGAGCCTATTCCTTTCAGGCAGCGCCCCCTTCCGTTTTCATGGTTCCGTCAATTTGCTTCCCCCGGCTTCCACTCCGCTTTCAACCATCCTCCCACCCCTTGTACAGACTGCACCACCCATCAGGGAAAAACACTCCCCTGGCCCTACCCCTAATTTAACAAACATGGTCTCTCCCTAGAGCTCGCGGAATTCCGTTGCTAAACCCCAACCTAGGGCGACGACTTCTTCTGATTGGTTCTGAAGCACCCAGCTAAGCGTCACTTCCGGCGGAAGGAGGCGGGAGATTCAATTGAAGACTGTCTGCGAGCGTCCAGTTCCTGCTGTGATGTGTCTGGGCAGCTTCTTTGGTCCCCAGGTGAGACGCTGGGACAAGGGGATTTTTCGGGAAGCTCAAGGTTTGGAAACCCCTAATAAGGCCCTTAATGGGGGCGTAATGAGAGTAAAGACCCTGTCTTTATGTTGGTCACATTTTCATGACTGTTTCCTCTTAAACCGTGAGTGTAGAAAAATATAAAAAATTTAAACACTGTTGAGCCAAACGTGCTGAATTACTTGTCTTCACAGTAAGCAAGGGATGAGAGTCTAAAACGGCAAATATGGAGAGGAAAAAGCTTTTTAGCCCCCCAGTTCAGAGGCTACAAAGCTGGCTACTGTGTCGAGGACTGTTGTTATTGCAGCAACTCAGACCTGATCGTCCAGCGGGGTTTCAGAGGATTCAAATCGCACGGAGGAGATGGCCCATCTTTCTCCCGCGAAGCAGCAGGCGGATTCGAACTGCCCGCCTTTAGATTGGCAGCGCAGCTTCTTAGCACTAGGCCAAAAATCCTGGTGCGGGGTACTAGCAGCTGAAAAGAGACCTTTTCTGAACTGCTTTGATGACTCTGAAGGGGGAAATGGTACAGTGTGTTGTGGTCAACCCAACACATTTTGACGTTTTTGAGATGATTTCCTCCACTACCACATTCGCCGACCGGATCAGCCTCTTGACTATCTCAGCTCTGTGCCCTTCTTGCCGCGTTGGCTGTCTTTGCTTTGGTGACTGCAGCACAGCTGGGACTACTTCCCACCTGGTTCTCTTCAGCCTTGTGTCTTCCAATCTAATCTTCACATTACTAGACTGATAGAGCTGAGATCTAACCCTCGGGACACTCCCCACTTAAAACTTGTTTGATTAGGCGAGCTCTGGTGGCCTAGTGGCAGGAAACTGTACTGCAATCCCAGAAGTGCACGGTTCAAATCCACCTGATGCTCTGCTGAAGAAGGAGGAACAGTCGCCTCCTGTACCGGTCAGATCCAATTTGACGGTACACGCATAAAAAAAAACAAAAAAAAAACTTGTTTGATTAAAAAAAAAAAAAGGTATTTGTGTCTTGTTTGCTCTCGGGTTTAAGTTAAAACTCCTTAACAAGGCCCTTGTTGTATTTGTTTTGCACTGATCTCCAGCCATGTAGAGTTTCTCTTGAGTCTCTCAAATGTACCAGAACTGGAGGAACTTACTTAAGTTAGGCTGGTGTGGGAAGGCTTCTTTGAGGACTTGGCATTTAAATTGAGACCTAAAATATGAAAATATTCCTTCCTCCCCAAACTCATCCTAGGCTAAGACTAGCACATTTTTTGTTATATTTTCTCTCACTATTATGTTATCTTTCCTTTAGAGAAGTTACCCCAATTGTAGTTACAGGTTTTTTGTGTGGTTAGCTGTCTTAGAAAAATAAATCTAGTGGCTTATATAGGAACCTTGTCCGTATTGCCCATCCCTTATTTCGCCAACAGCTGGCTTTTAGCACCTCTAGGTAAGTAACAACAATAAATAAATCACTGAGTTTACTGTGTTGGAACCTAGTGTTACTGTTATGGAACTGAAAGAAACTTACTATCACCATCCTTCCTAATAAAACTGAGAAGAAAGAAATTCCAAGAGATGATTCACAGTTCTCCTTTCATTGGCCTACACTCAGAACCAACACATAGCTGAACTCACACATAGCTGACCCTCTATAGGGTTTGCGAGGCTGTAAATCACAAGGGAGGAGACTGCCCACCTTTCTCCCACAGAGCCACTGGTGGATCCAAACCGCCAGAGAGGGAAGCCCTTGGGTTAACAATGCAACTCTCTGTGGACTGTGCCCCCCAGAGTTAGTGAATCTAGTGAATTTTGCAGACGTGCTTACTTGATCCACTAGAGGACCGTAAAACTTTACAAATCTTCCTTTAGAACTATAGCAATTAATACCTGCACAGTTAATTTAGAAATTAATTAAAAATTTTTCCGTTTTTCACATATTGGTGAACTGTCCAGTTAGAACATGCCTTTGATATTAATGTTTTTTCCTACTACACTAGCACAGCCTCCTAAACATAGCACATATACTACTATAAACTCATGTACTGAAGTGTGAATTTCATAAAAGTTGTATAAAGCTTTTACTCATGTTGTGTATGTTTCACACTGTAGTGATATCCACTACCTTAAAGTTTTTCATATGCTGTTGCATACTTAATAGACTACAGTGTGCTGTTGTTAGGTGCTCAGCATATAGATTAGATCGGTATGAAAGGATACAACCTTAATATGCACTTTTCCTGATTTTAAACCATACAGCATTCCCTTGTTTTCCCAGTTCAACTGGCTTAGTTTATCAATTTCACATGAAACATAACTTTTATATCAGGAACCGAAATACTTGCGTGATTTACTCTATTATGATAATCATTTTATTCTGGATGTAGGAAACCAAATTTGAAATATCTCTGAGATAATGTTTATACTCTCCATTCTAATGCATATATAAACAGTTCTTTTTAGGATTCAAGCTAAAAATAGGAAGAAAGTTAAAAGCTAAAGTTAAGAGTAACAGTTATTGAACTTGGTATGGGACTGTAAAGAGATGACCCTCCTGAGATGTTCTCTGGTTCTGGAAAAAAGGTTAATAAACAATATAATGTAATGATGAATTTTAAAATTTGGTCATTTAAACCATCCTGAGAAAGCTTTGTGGAGGAGAATGTTTAGAAATAAATATTATTCAGGAGAATTACGATTGGTTTTGGTAAAAGTTCCAGAAGAAAGAAGAGAAGGCATATAAATTTCTTTAACAAATTACTAGAGCCTAAAGAGCAAGAAAAAGCAAAAAGTCATTTTGGTGAATAGAACTGAACAGTGTAGAAAGAAATAGTAGGACTATAAATTATGATATTAGAGGATATTTAAAGACAGGAAAAAAAAACCTTTTTTTTTTTGTTAATATAGAAAGTATTTTTAGTGGGACTTCATATGCAAATCCTAACATACGGCATATACTTGCTCAGAAGTTTTTTTCTTAAAATTTTCAAGTCTTATGTAGAGATTTTCTTTCATTCCCTGAATATTTATTGAGAATTTACTGTGAGTTCAGCATGTGGAGGAGCACAAAATGGACCAAGACCCTGTCTTCATGAACCTTAGAAGCCACTGGGAGTTGAACAAACAAAAATAAATACACAGATGGGTATGTTACTACAGCCTTGGTACCTAAAGGAATAAAACTAATGTCACGGAGTCCGATAAAAAAAGATGTCTACTTGAGATAAAGTAGGACTTGGCAGAGGTAACGTTGAGGTTGAGGACTAAAGGACAAAGAGGCCAGTTAGTGAAAAAACTAAAAGAGAACTCTTAAGTACAAAAGCCCTGGGATGTGAAACCGTTTGGTGCAATCAAAGAAGCAGAGAGGCAGCAAATGTAACTGAAGTGTAATGATTAAGGGAGAGAGCAGTACAAAGTAAAGTGGCCAAGGGTAGACAGAACACAGAACCTCCTAGATCTTTGGAAGGATTTAAATAGCAGATTTTTAAGCAGATAAGGCATAACATTTCCAGAAAGGAGCTTTCTCTGATTTTATCTCCACAGGAATTATATACTTCATGTTTTTCTCCTTCCCAGGTTAGGTTTTAGAAGAGACTTAGAGGGGAACATACCTTTGCTAACATCTACTGTTTTGGGGAGTTCTAGTGGTAAGAAGCTGCACTGCAGTCCCGAATGCACACAGTTTAAATCCACCAGCTGCTCTGTAGGAGAAGGATGTACAGTCTTTTCCTGTGTAATTAACTGCTTCTGAAAACCCATTAGAGGGTCAACTATGGGTCAGTACTGACTCAACTGTACTCAGCACACACACTGTTGAATTTGCAAGGAAATGGAAGTTAACAGCAATAATAGTGGCAGTTTTCTGTGACCCTTGTTCCTGCCTTTCCCTTATAACCTACTCCACCATGTCCTTGGAGAACAGTGTGGCATAAAGTGATAACTAAATTTAGAAATATATGTCTGCCGTTAGAACCTTATTAATCATATATTCTTAAGATTCCACAAAACAAGAATAGTTAAGAAAATTAAAATAAGCAAGATTTGTCCTTTTTTGTGCATAGATCAGTGATTGATAGAAATTATTTCTACAGAAATGTTATTTTGTTTGATGGGAAGATTAATACAGCTTTATGAACTTCAAAAATCCATCAAATTTCTGTATTTATGATCATCCTTATGAACTGTATCTAAAAGGTCCTCTTAATCATTGATAAACTTATGACTTCCACTTTGTCAGAATTTATTCGTGTCTCAGAAACTGTCTTACCCATTTTCAGAAATTAAAAGACTTTACCATGTGTTTGTAAAGTTAGCAGCCCAGCATATTACACACTGTTACTTAGGCTCTTTCAAACATCCAGAGGCCTTTATTTCAGAGCATTTCTTTTATATGATGCATGTTTTTTTCCCTAAGAAAGCAGCATTTGAGCTTTTTTTTTAAAAAAAAAAGCATAAAGATTTCTATTTTGCTGTTATTTCTCTTATGTGTTTCATACAAGAATGTTAAAAACACTTTGAGCTCTTTTAATTTTTATGTTTTCTGTTTATAAAACTTGTGTTGCCTTTTTTTTTCTTTGTGAAAATAAGCCAGACCCCTCCCTGGAAGTTAGTTCCAACTCCAGTGACCTTCCAGTAAGTTTCTGAGGCTATAAATCTTTATGAAAGGAGACTGCCTGTCTTTCTCCTTCAGTGCAGCTCATGGATTTGAACTGTCTACCTTTCCGTTAACAGCTCAACGGGGAATACACTCCACCAGCATTTGCTTGATTCACTGCTTTAAATCTTCTTTTCTCTTTCTTCGTAGAAATAGCTGATGGATTTGAATTACTGATCTTATGGTTAGCATCCCAGCATATAAAGCTCTATAACCACTAGTTTTCTTTCTATTAATACTTTTAAGTAAGCAGGAAAAGGGAATAAATCTTCAACTGACACTCTCTGCCTTCACTTTGGAAATAAAGTAAAAGAAATCTATTGGCAATGTAGTAGAAGTGAGTTGATTTTTCTCAAGAAATCAATATGGACATGTGATCAAAGACTCGTCATTGACCCTAATGGCTGTTTTATTTTGTAGGCCATGATGTGAACACATGAATAAGAGAAGGAAATTTCTTCTTGCCTCCGTACTTGCTGTCCAGAATTCAAATTTTATATATCCATCATGTCAAAAGTGCTTCTCTCGAATAATCATAGTCTCCAAAAGGTAAAAGTCAAATCTGTAAGTTAGAAGAAATTTAAGTGTACACTGTAGATTTCCTGTGCTTCAAGGGTAAGTAAGGATTAAATTCAAGACACCAGAGCAAAGTGTTACCTAAGGGTGAGAGTTCTTCAGTTGTATTAGAATATGTTTGGCTGGTAATCTTTTATTAACTGAAGAGCTCAGACTAACTGCCAGTGAGTCACTTATAGCTTTTAACAACCCTCCATCTGATTTCTGAGGTTGTAAATTGCAACAGACATAGAGTACTCATCTTTCCCGGGGGGATCAAACCACCAGAGTCATAAGCCTTTAGGCTGTGGACTACACCAGGAGAGATCCTTAGTCTTCTATTATTAGAGAGAAATTTCAGGTTTGCTTTTTTCTAATACCTGCCCTGATGAAAAGGAAAACAGCTTCTAAGAAAATAAAATCTATTCTTGATGCAAAAATTTAGCCCATTTCCAGGCTGTCCCAGGGAATAATGTTAGAGGTGTTTTGTTTGTTTTCGTATGATTCCTCAAAACAGGTAAACACCTTCAGCTTTTAGTGATGTCTATATTATATGGTTCTTGCCATGTTAATTTATGTTGGTGGTCAATACAGGCCAAATACACCTAAAGATCTTTCTCTGAGCTTCATGAAATGGAAGTCAAAAGTTAAGATTAGAGTCCCTCAAAAACATAATCTCTGCCTATTGAAAATTCAAGTCTTAAGTTCTCTTTGGCTGTATATGGATCCTTGATAGTAGTATGCCAGCAAATATTCTTTATTCGTCTTTTTGTCTAGTTAGCATTAAGTGGGGAGAAGTTGTTAGTTTGTAAGGACTGAAGTCATCTTCCCATTAATGATCAGTTTATTTAGTAAGCAGTTTTCCAAGTCAGCTCTATGTGTAAGATCCTATTTGTACTGATCATTAAGCCTTCAGCATGTAACTTACAGCTTGTTTCATAGAAAATGTTCTACAAATGTTTGTTGATTGAGTAAATGACAGTTTGATAGTGTCTTAGATCTGGTCTTCAGCTTACCTATTTTCATGTTTTTAGTGGCATAGTCTGTAGCAAGTTCCTCTGCTAACCAAAAGACCTCCAGGTTATTAAATTCACTATTGACTCCAAGGGACCAGGAAAGTCTCTTCTCATCAAGATCTACAGCCTTGAAAACCTTGTAGAGAATTGCTGTGAGTCAAAACCAACTTGACACTAGTGTGTTTTGAGTTGAGAGTGATTTTTCGTAAAAGAAACTAAAACCTATTTGCCTTTGATCAACAGACAGTTAACTTGGGAGGACCAGATACCAGCAGGCCTGCTCATGGTGGACAGTTTTCAATGCAACCTTCTAGTCAGATACTTCAAAGGAAGATATGATGATCTACTACTAGAAAAATTGGCTAATGAAAATCTTAAGAGCAGTAATTGAATACCTTATGAAACAATTTTACCCTGACAAACATAGGGTTATCATGAGTCAAATTTGACTCACAAAAATTGGTAATTAGGTGCACAGAAGTTAAATATCTTGCCTGATAGTAAATGCCCTAGTCTGTGCAAATCTACCTTATCTTTCCCTGTGAAAACAATCCCCAAAAGTGTAATCTGATTTCTGCATTTATCAACATTGATAATACTGTCCCCCCCCAAAAAAAATCTATGGCCATAATTTCTGATGCTTATCTTTTCTAATGTTACTTCTGTTTTCTTTTTTTCCTATTTAGACTCCTTTTTGAGCAACACAAGAAATAAAGTCTTTGCTTTCATTTCCTTAGTAATCTATCAATTATAGCTAGGAAGTCCCCAAGTACCATACATAGTTAAGTGCTCAACTAGTAACTGAAAAATTGGTGGTCCTAAAATTTTGAGAACTGCTATTCCATAAAGACATTTTAGATATAGAGGCTACCTTGTGTACTTAAATCAGCATAATATGATCTGGGTCCTTGCTTGATGTAATTGTTGGATAAATAGTCTGTACCCTGACTTCTCAAAGCATGGTCTTTTGGCCTTATCCCAGAGTTTATGGGTCAAAATCTTGATTTTAATGAAATCCCAAGATGATTTGACTGTATATTAAAGTTTGAGATAGTCTGATTTATGTAATTCTGTCTGGTAACTTAATGGTAGTTATGCTGCCAAGCCAAAGACAAGCAGTTCAAATCTAATACCAGCTCTATGAGAGAAAGTTGGGCAATCTCTTCCTGTGAAATATCTTCAAAATGCATATTCATTATTTTTGCACTGAAAGAGCCTGTACAGCATCCAGATTAAAGAATTTTCTTACTAACCAGAAAGTCAGCAGTTCAAATATACTAGCTCCTAGAGAAAAATGAAGAGGTAGTCTGTAGCCTTGGAAATCTTACAGACGGTTCGACTCCCAGATGAGATGGATTGATGCAGTAATTGGAGTATGAGGTTAGGTGCATCAGACATCGTGATATTGTCTCAGAATAGAGCAGGGTTCAGAGCTGTTGTGCACAGGGTTGCTGTATTGTGGTGTTATGTACCATCTAGTCAGATCTGACCCATAGCTGACCCTCCGTCAAGTTAATCACGCAGGAGGAGACTGCCCCTCCTCCTTTGGAGCCCCTGGTGGATTCAAACGTGCCTTCAGGATAGCAGTACAACGTCTTACCACTGGGCCACCAGAGCTGAATCATAGACAACTTTACAGCACATAACAACAACAACTTGGTCCTGCAAGGCCACTATGAGTCAGAATCAACACACAGTGGCAAGGCGTATATATGATTTCTGTGTTCATCAGTATTAATGGACTTAATTTTTATTAGGCTATCATTGATATCTATTTATAAAAGTTTATTAGACTACCATTCCTTTTGTTATTATTCATTTTAATGAAAATTTACAGAGACTTTGGATTTCCATTCATTCATTGTTGCACTTTTCTCCCTGCCCTCTCCCCCCTTCCGCCCCCCCAGTTCACTCTTCTCTTTGAAAAGTAAAAGAAAAATTCTTACATTGTTCTATAATCCCTCCCGCCTGTGGCTCCACTCAACTGTGCAACTTCATTCTGGACTGCTGTCATGACAATAATACCTAATTACATAACCCTTTTAAACAGTTTCTCCCTCATCTGTTTCAATGCAGTATACATAATTTATCCCATCTTTCTCAGTCTCCCCCAACCCTAATATCAGCCCCGTTTTACAACAGTGGCACGATGTAGTATTTGTCCTTTTGTGACTGAGATATTTCACTCAGCATAATGTCCTCCAAGGTCACTGATTTTGTATAATAGTTCATGAGTTCCTTGTTTTTCAAAGCAGCATAGTGTTCCATTATGTGACTATACCACAGCTTCTCAATCCATTCATTTGTTGATGGGCACTTAGGTTGTTTCCAACTCTTTCCTATTGTGAACAAAGTTGTGATAAACATGAGTGTGCATATTTATCTGCTTGGATGGTGGTTATGGTGTCTTTGGGGTATATTCACAGTAGTGGAATTGTTGGGTCAAGTGGTATTTCTATTTGCAACTTTCTTGGGAAAAAAAAACCCACACAAACACTTTATTATTTTTTGTGCGTGTGTACCGTCAAATCAGATCTGACTGGTACAGGAGGAGATTGCCCCTTCTTCTCCAGCAGAGCATCTGGTGGATTCGAACCGTGTGCCTCTAGGATTACAGTGCATGTTTGTAACTTTTTGAGAAAGTGCCATACTGCCTTCCATAGTGGTTACACCATTTTATACTCCCTCCAATAAGGGTTCTAGTTTCTCCACAACATTGCCAGCATTTGTTTCTTGCTGTTCTGTTAAATTTTGCTCTTTCTACTGGGGTGAAATGCTATCTCATAGTTGTTTTTAGAATACCATTCTTATGGTTATCCTAATAACTGTGTCATGTTCAAAGCCTTAGATTTGGGTCAAAAATTCACCAGTTTTGTTACTTGTTGCAAAAAATCAATTATTAGTAATAATCGCCTTTTTACCTACCAGAAGTGTTCTAGATAAAAAGAAATTTAATAATGTATATGAAATAATACATTTGTAAACTATAATACACTGCATATAAATTTTAATATTTGTTAGAAATTTTACATTAAATCCTAACACATTGTTTTTAAGGAAGTTCTGATAGATGTTTCAACATTCATTAGATTTTACTAGAGCCTGGTAGTGAAGTTTTTATTTCTTTTTGAGTCAGTTTGCCTCACTTTATGCTCTACCCAGACTTCCCAGTAAACTCCCTCAGATTTGAGTAAGACCATATATAGTTAGTATTGATCCATGCATATTGTGACAAACAGTAATTAGCAGAGCTCTAATTAGGATGATTCAGTAGCTTCTCATGAAAAACCAAAATAACCTTTGTTTAAAGATAGTCACCTTGTATGTTGTGGGGTTTTAGGCTCCCCCTAGTGGCTGTCTGGCCACAGTAACATTTATACAGCTGTTTTAAACATGGAGATTATTGAGCAGTATCATTAATAAGAATAATGTTATTTTCTGTTTGCATTTTACTACTCTTTTTTAAAACCAGGTCAGTAGCAGTATGAGTAGGGCAGGAGTGGAGACAAACACCACAAAGTCCTAGTGTTATTCCTCAACAAAAGTTGTCATAAGGCACAGGTATCAAACTCATCAAGTATTGTATACAGTAAAACAGTAGAAATGACAGCAGTCATCACACCGTTTCATAAAATTTAAAAGGCAAAACTGACTAGCATGTGTTATGTACTGTGGAGTCTGGATCAACCCATGGTTGATTTACAGATTTTTAGAGGCAGTAAATCTCACTGGGAGGAGATTGTCCGTATTTCTCCTGTGGAATAGCTGACAGATTTGAACCACTTATCTTTGGGTTGGCTGCACAATTCCTTACACTAGGTCACCAGAATTTCCTGATTCCTCTCTAGTAAACACCAATTAACATTAGTCTGTCAGTATATAGACTTCAGCCCTAAATTTGGCAGACATGGAAATCAGGGCTTAAAGAATTAAGTAACTGTTCTAAGGCCAGATAGCTAATGCATGACACTAGAGATACAGTTGACATGATTTTTTTTAATTACAAAGTCTTTAGTCATAATTATTGCCTTACAAACAAGTTGAATTTAACTTACAAGTTAGCTTGACTTTCATATAATTTTATGATTTGAGAAATTCTATCATATTCCAATTAAAGAAAGTTTTCCTTATAGCTTAAAAAAGCAATAAGATTATTTATTATTTTTATTAATAAACATTCTCTTAAAAGACCTGAAAGATAGGCAGTTTGAATCCAACAGCCACTCCACTGTTGAAAGATGGTCATAAATTGACTAAATAGCATTGAATTTTTTTTATTTATTTTGTTTTTGTTTGTTTATTTGTTTTGGCATGTTTGTGGAATTAGACTCCTACCTCTTTCTCCCATGGACCCGCTGGTGGGTTCAAACCACTAACGTTTTAGTTATTGACAAACAGTGCAACATTTATCTATTATGCTACTAGGACTCCTTTAACAGACAATACACATTCTACTTCCCATCTGTTTTGTTGTGATGTTCACTTCATAGATTTCATTTGCCCCCTGCTATAATATCAGTATTAAGGATGCTTCTTTCTGCCACATAATACACAGTGTATTGTGTGTTTCTTACCAATATCCTGTTACTTAGTCAAATCATTAGAACCAGTGAATGTGGATAGAGCGTTTCAAAAGATGTTTTAATATTACTAAAGAAGTTAAGTTGTAGAGGTATACGCAAAATTTTTATTCTACTTTCCTCTTTTGGGTCTGTTTTTCATGTTGTTGAAAATTTTTTATGAACCTCTTTGCTCCCCCCCCCCCCCCCTTTTTTTCTTTCTTCCAGGTCTAACTGTCCAAAATGTGGCTCTACTGGAGAAGCTGAAAATGTCAGTTACAGATATAAACTTCCCTTAAAAGTTGCAGAATCAAGTAAATTGTTTAGCATTACTGTCTTTGGAAGCTGTTTAGATACATTTTTTGGTCTTACTGCCACTGCTTTGCACAGGTAGGCATATTTAAAGCATTGTTTTTTCCTGAGCTACACCTTTGGTTTGTCAATGGAATTTGAAAATGTGTGATTTTAGTATAATGCCTTTTGTAAAAAGACGTTCAATCAAACCTGTTTTTATTTCCTGATTATATATTGTGATGTCCTTTTAAACCAGAATTTTTTTTATTCAGGCCAGATAATTTGTAATTAAAATAATGAATTAAATTATAAAAGTGAGCTAAAGAAACATGAAGGGGTAAGGGGAAGGCAGTAAAAGAATTTCATAATGAAAATTTATCTGAATTGGCCAGAGCCTTCAAATATAAGCTCGATTGGAGCAGAAGAAGCTATTTGAGAAAATACTGTATAACACAAAAATTTGTCCTTTATTTTCCTGTTATGACTTTATGCACCTAATTTGATCTGTAAAATGTCCTGACAATGGAAGAAGTGGTTGAAACTTTTCCGCCTCTTCCCATAATCTCTTGACAGAAGAAATATATGTCCATGGACTTCTTTCTGGCTATAGGCCAATTTAAGGTCCTAATAGATTATAGCTAGGATTGCCAAAGAAGAAAATTCCCTCTGTTTTGAAGAGGAGGGACAGAGATGCCATCACTATTCCCATTTTTTAAAATTTCCTCTAAAATATTTAAATACTGCTCCTAATTATTAGCGTTTTGGAAATTGTTTCTTATATGTTGCCGTGGACTCGTACCAACACTGAGTACCACGGAGCGAAAAAGTGTTCAGTCTTGAACCATCTCACAGTTGTTGCTGACACTCATTACTGCAGTCACTGTGTCAGTCCATCTCGTTGAAGGTCTTCTTTTTCACTATCAAGCATAATATCTTGCTCCAGGCACTAACTTCTTACAGTGTTGTGTCCCATCCAATCAGAACCAACCCATAGCTGAGCCTCCAGTGGGTTTTCAGAGGCATTTAATTAAATGGATGGAGATTACCCATCCTTCTTCTGGCTGGGAGCTGCCAATGGATTCGAACCACATGCCTTCGGGATTGCCTCTCAGCTTCTTACCACTCGACCACCAGAGCTCCCTAACTGTTCCTGATAATGTGACCATATAGAATGGACTAACTGCTAAACTGATAAAGGGGACTAATTGTACCTGATAATATGGCCAAAGGATGTGAGACAAAATCTTGCTTTCCTGGCTTCTAAGGAGCACACATGCTATACTTGTAAGACATGTTTGTTCTTTTGGCAGTCTGATATATTCAGTATTTTTCAGCAGTATCAAAGCTCACTTGCATCAACTTCTTCAGTTTCTTTCCTTGCCTGACTTTCATATGCATATGTAACAATTGAAAATACTATGGCTTTGGTCATTAGAGATAACAAAATGTTTGTTTTTTTAAAAAAACTGTCCCCTGTAGACAACACATAAAACATTTATACTACATTTTCAAGTTACTTGTTCTTCCAACTTTAACAGAATAAATTTTTAAAATTTATCCCTTCATATATTATATGAATTTTTTTTTTCCAATCAAGGTACATTGAAAATTCTGATGAAATTCCTGAAACACTGGACAGTGATACAGCTAAGAACCTATTAACTAAAGCAGTTGAAACGTGCTTTGTTGGACAAAGCTTTATTTTTGGAGTGACGGTAATTGACACCAGCTTTTTTTTTTAAATAGTAATACTTAAATTGTATGAAATTATTTAAATTCCCTAAATAGTTCTTAGAAGTTAAATATAAATGTGAAGATCATGGTAAAAATAGCCTATACATGATCTTTTAAAACACCCTATATGTCAACTTACTTTTCTTTTTAAGAGTCAAAAACTTCAAGTAATACCTTTGGAGCTTCCAAAATCTAAATTTATTATGAAAGCAAAAGTCTTAAATATTTTTGTACTTGGTTATTTTACTCTCCGAATTTTGTTCTCATTCATCAGTCCCTGCTCTTCACAATTGAGTCATCTCTGAAAAGAGTAGGAGGAGGAAACTTAACATTGAAAATGATGCTTCTGAATATTAATAAGAACTCTTAAGAATGGTTTTAATTAACTGTCACTGTTAAGTTAAAAGATTGTACTAATTCTGAAGGAATTAGTAACATGGTCTTTCACCCCAGGACTTCATGTATACTGACTGTGTACCCAGCATTTTGCCTAGAAAGCATTTAAGATACGTTGGCTGTTGGTAATGAAATGGTTTGTTTTGGTTTTGGTTTGGGGATTTTTTCCCCCTTTTTAAATGAGTTTTAGTTTTCATTCTGAATGACCTATCTGTTTGACATTGTGAGATTTCTTTGAGCCAAAAGAGTCAGTCCTTTTTGAGAGAAATCTTAGTCTTAAAATTGATATTGACAAATGATTTTTTTTTTTAAATTTTCCAAGGAATACTGATTAAAAATATTTACACATCAACCTAAGTCCACAGTTTAGCACTCTTATTTGTATGGCTTTAAAAGTTATAGCACAAGAACTTTACATTAAGGAATTGGGGGAGGGGGGAAATCCATTCAAAACAAAGCCTGCGATAGATCTTTTTCTCTGTACTTTAAATACATTAATTTTTTTTAAACGATGCTCATCTTTTTTTCATCTAGTGATAAATAACTAGTGCAAACTTCATCAAAATGAAATTTACCACAGATGTCAATGAATTTTCCCACCTGGAAATGGCCCTTAAGCTCACATAAAATGAAATGTCTCAACCTTAAATGAAAAATGAAAAAAGAACTGGTGGCTGGTATTTATAAACAAAAAATAGAAAATACTGTAGCATCATCTACACACTGCTCCTTACCATACAAATTTTGAAAGAACCAGAGATGCTTTTCAGAAGCTCTGTCGACTTTGAAAAGACATGGGTGTGGTTTTTTTCCCCTTTACATTCTAGAAACGTTGCCACCACCACTCTGTTTCTGCTGCAAAGATGGCATCTGTAATGACTGGAGCAGACACAAATGTTATTCAACTAAAGGAATCCAGAAGCTGAATTGAACTGCACATAACAATGCACTTTTCTTCATGCAGCCTTGTGTTTCTTAAGTATTCCATTTTCTAACATGCATTAGAATGCATTAGTTGTATACTAATAATTTTACATTTGATTTTACAACGGAGGCGGGTAGAGATTTGAGGAAGAAAAGGAGGGAAGAACTCTTAACCATAATGAAAAGATACATTCGTACCAGCTCTTAAGAACACCAGAACCCATTAAATTTCCAGAAATACATGTCTCAGAGTCTCCCATTCACTGGAAATTTCCCTCTTCTGTGGCATTAGGAGGAAAATGGGAGAACCAGTGTTCTTTAACAGAAACTGCACAGTAGGAAAGAGTTAACTTTGGTCCATTTGTCTGTCAGCAAGGACAGTCACACTGCTCAATAATCAACTGGAAAACCCAACACGTAAATGAGAAAATGTATTCATCTATTAGTTCATTCTAAAACTGTCAGAGGGGTTCTGTCCTCCTCCTGTGCCTTTTCAGCTGGGGAATCCATGACTGCTTTGATCTTTAACGTCCCCACGTCTTCAGGATTCTGGCCATTATCCTGCACACCTCGGGCTTGTGTAGGCCTTCTCTCCTCGAGGATCTCAGGGCTCACGTGACCTAGGTCCGCGTCCAGCAGTCCAGTGTGTACTTCACTGGTATCGGGTTCACCCACTCCACGTGCAGCTCCTCCGCATGCACCTCAGTGCCCTCCTCGGTGTGGATCTGGTCCATTTCTAGATAGCTCACCTGGACCTGCTCTGAAAGCTCACACAGACCTGCGTTGTGGATCTGGCTGTCCTGCAGCAGTTCTGGATGAACCTGATCCATGGTCACTTGGGCGGAATCCACCTGGACCTGAAGCACTGGAAACACATGTACCTGCCCGACTTTGTCTGTAATTGTCATTGATATTACAGGTTCCATTTGCACATGAGTTTCTACAGAAAGAACTTCCGTTACTAGATGCTCTGAAATAATGTGAGCATCATTGACATGTCTCGGTAACTCATTTCTTTGCATGAGCCACAAATCACACAAAGTACAATGATTGGGTTTATCTCCAGTGTGATACCAAGTGGTCTTTGAATTGGTCCCAGCTGTTAAACACACTGTTACAGCCCTGACATTCATAAAGCTTCTTTCTTCCCTTTTTTGCCCCGTTCCAGTTTGGCATGCTGTCAGGTGACATTTGAGTGTGCTATTTCTAGCAAATCTTTCACAACAATTTGGACATTCTAAGGGTTTTTCACCTGTATGTTTTCAAGGATGTTCTTTAAAATGTCCAAAGTGGTCAAAGTATTTCTCACAGTACTGACATATGTGAATGTTTTTTCCCAGTTCTTTGCTTCTTACTGACTTCACCCTCTTCAAGGTTGTAACAATTGAGGTGCTGTTTCCACACACACACTCCCGAAGATACCTTTTATTCCATATGTTACACTGGAAACTCAGTGGAGTATGATTTCATGTGCTTTGCCTGTAGGATCAGATGCACAGCCATCTTCCTCTTTAATCTGTCCTTTTCTATCACCTGGATGATACTTACTGGTAATATTGGCCTACAGGGCTAAAGCAGAATCATCAGAGGAACCCGTACTCTGAATGTGGAGTGCCTGCAGAAGCCACTTCCTCCAGTGTCATGGTTTCATCTTCCACTTCAGTCATGCCTTCCGCAGTCTCCACCTCAATCTCAGATTCTGCACACAGCAAGGACTCAGTGTTCATATTGGAAGTTGCCTTATTTTTTCCTGTATTCCTTACCTCAAGTGGATTTGCATTTTCTTTGTTGCCGACTTCAAGGGCTTTGTTGGCTTCCAGCATCTGGAGAAACTGTTGCTTTCCATACATCATTGGCTTCTTTTCCTTGTATAATTAACTTTGTTGTATATGTGAACTTAATCAAATGATGGAAGTCCATTTTACTGACACCTTCTGTCTCCACCAAAGGTTCCTGTGTAAATTCCTGAAAGCATTTGTAGAAGAACTTACTGCAAGCAGCCAAAACAGCCTTTTGGACCTTAAAATGGTGCCCATCCATGATCAGGGTAATGTCAGTGAAGTAGTCCTGCTCCTGCTGCTCGTTGAGACAGTCCAGTATCATTTTGTGACGCTCCGGGAACTCCTCCAGGCATTCCATCGTCTCCTCCGCCTCCATGGCTGCTGGGCTGCTCTTGGCCGGGCTCTTCACCACGGCTCACCCAACATCTCCCCATCAGCCCACAGCTCTCAGCACTCACTCCCACAGGGTCCTGGTGGCAGCCTAGTTAAGAGTTTTTAAAACCCTAATTCTGATTCTGGTGCCCAGTGGCAAGAAGCTGTGCTGCAATTCCAAAGACACGTGGTTCAAGGCCACCACCTGCTCTGAGGGAGAAGGATGGGCAGTCTCCTCCTGTGCCATTAGCTGCCTCTGAAAACCCACTGGAGGGTTGGTTAGCTATGGGTCAACTCTGACTCTGTGGTACACAACAGTTCCGATCCTACTTTAATCAATGTGAACATACTTTAACATTTGTAAAAGTTATTTTAGAGTTACACATTAGGGGGAAATGCAGCATAGAATGAAAGTTTTCATGCAGGCTTGGGTAGGCAGAGCCACTTCCAATGGCTAAAGTCTCTTGAGGTGAAAGAATTACCCCTTCCTACCAGGTAGTGCTCATGGCTTAGGGGTAAGGAGGTTGCACTGCCAACCCAAAGGCACTCAATTCAAAGCTTTCAGCTGATTGGTAGGAGAAAGTCGTCTCCTGTGCCATTTATTGCCTCTTTAAACCCACTGAAGGGTCAGCTGTGAGTTGATTCCAACTCTGTGGTACATAACAACAACAACCAGTCAGATAAAACCAGATTGTAAGAATAGAATCAACTCAAGTCTTTCTCACTTGAGGTTCTGCAAAAAAATTAAACCATACAGAAAATAACCTCAGGGAGGTTTTTCTCAATTATATTGATAAATGGTACGTAGCTAGTACTATTACAGATACATAGATAAAAAGTTTATTATTTAAATAAATGCTTTAGGGCATTAGGGCTCGAATAAGCCTAAAGACTGTTAATCAGAGTTCTTGGGAGCCAAATCTTAACTGGAAAAATAAATTAGCGCAGATTTATGGGAGCAAGCAGAGAAGTTAGACACTATAGTCCCTTTGAGGTTGATATTTAGTTCATAATATTGTTATCAGAAACCTGCTATGTAGAATTCTGAATATATTTATACTACTTCGAGAACCATTTTATGTCTCCCTTTTCCTAAAATGAAAAGAAATTTTTGGGAAACACTGGAGAAAGGCTTTAAAAAGGGAAATGAAAGATTCCATCAATAAATAGGAAAAACACAAGGAAAGTGAAGCTGAGTATGTCAGGGCTTTTCTTTGCTAAAAATTGTTGTTGAGTAACATTGGGTCAGAACCAACTTACAGCTAGCCTCCAGCAGGTTTTCAGAGTAGATCACACAGGAGTAGACTGACCATCCGCCTATAGAGCAGCTGGTGGATTTGAACCATGTACCTTCGGGATTGCAGCACAGCTTGTAACCACCAGGCCACTAGACACCCCCCCTAGAAATATATGGTTAACTGCCTCTGAAAACCCATAGGAAGGTCATCAGTGAGTCAGTTCTGACTCTTCGGTACACAATAACAACTATATGTATAATTCTGCACTTTTTATCGTTATTTTATACTTGGAAGAAAACAGGCATTTTCATCTGTTTTATAAATGAGAAAAGACAGATTAAATAATTTGTTTACAGTCGCAACCCTGGTAAATATTAGAGCCAAGATTTGAAGAATCTTTCTACTCCAGGGTTTTCCTTTTTTTACTCATGCTACATGGCAATCTAATTTCCTGGCTACTGGTGCCGAGAGTATTGACTGTGGAGCCAAGCAAACTAAAGCTGTGAACAATCTCAATCTCTTCACCATCCATCCTGATGCTGCCAATTGGTCCAGTGGTGAGAATCTTTGTCTTCTTGACATTGACCTCAATCCATATTGAAGGCTGTAGTCCTTGACCCTCTGCAACAAGCGCTTCAGGTCCTCCTCAGTTTCAGGAAGCAGGGTTGTGTCATCTGCCTATGTAGATTGTAGATAGATCTTCCACCAATCTTGACCCCACATTTCTTCTCATTGAGCCCAGCCTCCTGGATAATCTGTTCTGCATATTAGTTGAAAAGGTATGGAGACAGGACACATCCCTGGCATATGCCCTTCCCAGTTTTGAACCATGCAGTGTTTCCTTGTTCTGTTCTGACTACTGCCTCTTGGTCCCAGTAGAGGTTTCTCATTAGCACAATCAAGTGTTCCGGGATTCCCATTCTTCTCAGAGTCAGCCACAGTTTGTTATGATCCACACAGTCAAATGCCTTTGCATAGTCAGTGAAACACAGATAGACATTCCTCTGGTACTCCCTGCTTTCAGCTAAGATCCATCTAACATTAGCTACAATATCCCTAGTACCACGACCCCTTCTAAACCCAGCCTGGACTTCTGGTAGTTCTCTGCTGATGTGTTGTTCCAGTCGTTTTTGGATAATCTTCAGTAGAATCTTGCTTGCATGTGAAATCAGTGAAATTGTTCTGTAGTTTCCACACTCTGTTGGGTCACCCTTCTTTGGGATGGGAACAAATATTGACCTCTTCCAGTCAGTTGGCCAAGTGGTTCTCCAGATTTCTTGGCACAACTTGGTGAGCACGTCCAGGGCAGCATCTGTTAGCTGAAATATGTCAATTGGTATACCATCTATTCCTGGGGCCTTATTTTTAGCTATTTCCTTCAAAGCAGCTTGAACTTCTTCCTTCATCATCATAGGCTCTTGCCTCATATGTTGTTTCATGACATTCTTCTGTGTCTGCCAATTCCTTTTGATACAGTGAGTGACTCAGTATATTCTTTCCATCTTCTTATAATGCTTCCTGAATCATTTAATATTCTGCCTAGAGCATCCTTGATTATAGCAACTCAAGGTTTGAATTTGTTCTTCAGTTCCTTGAGCTTAAGAAATGCTGAGCGAGTACAGCCCTTTTGATTTTGACTCCAACTCCTTAAACATTTCATTGTAATATAACAACAAACAACAGTCATGCTACTATTGCAATGGGAAAATCTGCTGTTAGGGACCTTTCCAAAGTACTGAAGAACAGTGGTGTTAGTCTGGAGACAAAGGTGCATCTGATACAGGCCATGGTCTTTGCAATCACTTGTTATGCATCAGAGAGTTGGACAGTGACTAGGGAGGATAGAAGGAGAATTGATGTTTTTGAGCTGTGGTGCTGGAGAAGAGTTTTGAGGGTGCCATGGACTGCCAAGAAAACAAACGCATTCATCCTGGAGAGTGTTAAACCAGGCGGCTCCTTGGAGGCAAGGATTCTGAGGCTCTGTCTAATATACTTTGAATATATTGTAAGGAGGGACCAGCCCTTGGAGAGGGACATCATGCTGTGGAGGATGGAGGGACAGCACAGGAGGGGAAGACCCTCATAAGGTGGACTGATTCAGTGACTGGGGTAATCGAGGTGAGTGTTGGAGACAGTGTGATTGGCACAGGACAGCAGGGTTTAGGGCTGTTGTACATAGGGTCGCTATGAGTCACAAGCGACTCGACAGCACATAACAGCAACTCTGCCTCTAATGTTATTGTTACTAGATGCCACCACAAGTCAGTTTTCATTTATAGGAACTCACCTCCCTTCTCCCTGATTGACAGAGGAGAACTGCCCCAATCTAGAGTTTTCAAGACTGTGACTTTAATGAGAACATATCACCAGGTCTCTCCCATAAAGAAACCATTGACTGAATTTAAACAACCAACTTTTTAGGTAGTTGGCGAACTTTTAACTATTGTGCCACCAGGGCTCCTTAGCTCTGATACTATTGGAATTGAAAAGAGTGAGAGTGAGAAGAAATATTAACATCCCTGTTTCACATTTGAATTTAAGAGAAAAAAAAATTAATCCTCATTTAAATTTGTTTGTTTTTACACAGAATTTTGAAAACCAAGGCTCAGATTGCAACAATTTCTTACAGCACTTCCATGACTGCAAGAGAGAAGTTAAAGCACTGGTAGCTTCCCAGATTCTTTTGCCAGACCCAAGTGTTGCAGGTTTCACCGTCATTGACTTCTTCCATCAGTTTCTGCAGCCTTCCAACTTAAGGAAACTTCACCTTGACTCCCAGGCAAGTAGCTATGTACTTGCTTTAAGTCACTCAGATAGTGCTATCAGTAGCATATCTGGTTCTGACAGCAGTTCTTGTTTTTTGGAGCCCTCTGACAAAGATAAATTTTCAAGATACTGGGAGCCATCACTTGAACTCATTTCCATTGATTCACGGCTAACAGATGTTAATGGTTTTTCAACCTCAGATAATCTTCACCAAAACCAAAAGTGTAGCTCCTTTGCAGAGGCCCCTGGTTCCAACAGCTACCATGATCCCTTTCAGCATTCATGGAGCCTTGTTTCATATATGGATAAAAAGAGTAAAGCAGAAAAGTTGGGTGAAGAACTTGGCTTACAATTTAATCAAGTGAGTGTGGTTTGCAGCAATAATCGTGACATTGGAGTTACTGGCCCTAATTTATTATCTCTGAGAGTGCAAGAGTCTCTTGAGCCAAGCAATACTGAGTCCTTCCACAGTGCAGTGAAAATTAAAAATAAGTATTCCCAACCTGAGCTAATATTTTGTCAGCATCCTGATGCAGATACCCCTGTTCTCCAAGAGAAAGCTGCACGTTGTTCTCCTTCGACACTCAAGCTTAAAGAAACGACTGATGATTCCCAGGATTGTGACCCTGAGATCTGGGATGATCTGCCATTCTCCGAAAGCTTGAACAAGTTTCTGGCAGTTGTCGAAAGTGAGATTGCTGTAACCCACACAGATGCCAAGAGTAGGAAGTGTTCTCTAGACATTGACATTGACAAATTACATGAAGATGGAAGCAAGTTTTCTTTCACTCCACAGAGAACTACTGGAACCCTGTATGCACCACCTATAGCTTTAAGACCATCACAACCAACAGGCAAAGCAAACTTTGAGAAAAACGCCCTTACGAAGTGTGATGCAAACCCAAATTGTGTTCTCAAAGAGTCACAGCCAGATAAGATAACAGAGACTGTCTCTGTAAGTCCTAATGGAAGAGATGTTTCTAATCATGTTCTTCCAAATGATTCTATACCCACTGTATATTCATCTCCCAAATATTTTGAAGCCGTGACAGCCAGAATCCAACCACATAGGACCAAAATATCACCCCAGCTCAGTACTTCAGAAAGTAAA